ATGTAAGTCGTCCATCCCCCACCCTCCCCCTGTTCCTTTTTTAGTAAAGGTACAAGAAAAATCATTCAAGTTATTGGCTACCTTTGGCCACAACCCTTGATTGGTCTTAGAGATTGTTATTAGATTACTTCTTGATGATCTGTTCTTGTGATAATTAATTTCAATTTCCTTAGCATCCCTCTTGGTGCCCATCTTCTAAACCTTTAAGTCGGCCTTTTGCTTTGCTCTGTCTCCCAGAATAATTTTCCTTCCAGGCTGGGGAACAGTTGCTGGGTAGCAGGTCAAATGTATTAATAGGCTGGCCATATGGTTCACAGACAGTTTGCTCTCAACAACCTGATAGGAATTTTGGTGGTTTGATTTTTTTTTTTAATTTTAACTATAAAAATGTAAGAACCATCTGCTGTTATTTTTTGTATGTGATCCTGGTAAGTTATTTAGTTACTCCCATGCAATGAGCAACGCTGTACGTGGAGGCTCCACGGCAAAGTTGGGTGACTTCACTTTTCAGTTGTAATGTATGTGGAGTGTGTGTGTCCCATCCAGATTCCCTTCATAAATTGCAGCAGGTTTGCCTGCATGTAATTAGATCTTGGGATTGATATGACCTCCATCTTAGCTGGCTAAATGCTTTTAACTGTAGTGGTCCGTTTGATTGGTTGAGAATAGGCCACATCCTAATTGCTATGGAGCAAACCAAATATAGTAATGTGATAGAGAATGATACCAGGGTGGGGATGGGACTGCTTTAGTTATGATCACGAAGGCCCTCAGAGGAGAAATTGGAGTTGCCATCTGAAGGGTGATAAAGAGACAGCCAAATGAAGATCCGCAGTGAGAGAATTCTAAGGGGATGGAAGAGTTAAGAGTAAAGGCTCTGAACTGAGGAGTAAGCAGGATACAGAAGGAAATCCAGTGGGCTACACTGTGTGAGATGCAGGGAGCTGAGGGTGAATAGGGTCTAGTCTGTGTGTAATAGGAGCCATTGGAGGTTTTTAAGAGAGGAGATATCATCTGATTTATAGCTCTAGAAAGCTCACTCTGGCTGCTAAGTGGAAATTGGACTGTTAGGAGGAAGAATGGAGGCCGGAGGACCAGTCAGGAGGCTATAGCTATTGTCCAGATGAAAAATAATGGTGGCTTGGACTAAGGGTGTGTGATATAGTTGGTGAGAAATGATAGAATTTGGGATATATTTTAGATAAGAGATCTATGGGACATACTGAATGATTTTTTGGTCTGAGTAATTGGGTGATTGGTGATGCAGTTCTTACTCACATTTGGAGGACTTGATGGTTCTTTTTTGGCCAGTTAAGTTTGAGTTGGATAATGGACACCCAAGTGGAAATATTTAGCAGACAATTGGTTATATGAACCTGGAGCTTAGATGAGAGATGCAGGCTGAAATGTTCATTTAAATTGTGTGAAGATCAAGAGTATAGACCGAGAGGAGGCTGAGGTCTGGGTATAGGACACGCCATCATTTAGAAGCCTGGAAGAGACACCAGCAAAGGACACCGATACTGAGTAGCCAGAGTTCAGAGAGAACCATGTGCTGAATAGATAGATACTTGGAAAACAAAGTGTCCCCAGAAGGAGTAAATGGTGACCTCATCATTCAGTTTCAAGTGTTAGCACCCAGTGCCCATATTAAAATGTAATTCCAAAAGTTGATTCCATAATTACAAACTTACTGACAACTAGAGTGAGCTACGCCCAATGCCCGCCCACAGAAATCCTCATTCTTGGTAGGATCAGAATCAAGGCGACTCTTGTCTGGAAGACGGTCTTTGCTCAAGTCTCAGTCAGGATTTGTGAGACTTAATACCATTACCAAAGCATCTAAGAGTAATTAGATTTTCTTTGTTTTTCTTTAGTGTTTTTTTTTTTAAAGATTTTATTGGAGAACTGGGGGAGGGAACAGCGTTGGGGAATTGGGGAACACATAAAAATGCTTGTGTTGGGCCAGCCGAGTGGCTCAGTTGATTAAGAGCAGAAGTTCTGAGCAACAGGGTCTCTGGTTCAATTCCCACATGGGCCAGTGAGCTGCGCCTGGGCTGAGCTGAGGTGGCAGGATGGCTCAGCTGGTGACAGCACGTGCTGCTAACAACAAGGTTTCTGGTTCGATCCCCACATGGGATGGTGGGTTGTGCCCCCTCAGATTGAACTCAGATTGAACACGGCACCTTGAGCTGAGCTGCTGTGAGCTGCCAACGGTGGTGGTGGTGGTGGTGGGGGGTTGGACTTGGAGCTGAGCTAGCTGCGCCCTCCACAACTAAGGTTGAAAGCCAACAACTTGGCTGTTCACCTTCCCTAGTTCCCCAACACTGTTCGCCTTCCCCAATTTCCCAATAAAAATCTTAAAAAAAACATGTGTTTTTTAGTACTTAACGTGCTAAACCTGATAAGATAGGCCTCATAACAAATAATTTTCTAAATTTTACCTTTTATGGAAGGCAGCTTCTTTTGGGAGTTAAGCAGCTTATAGAAAGTTGTTGTATTATCTGTTTGTCACTTGTTGCCACTTGATAAATGATATTTAAATGAGTAGAGATTTCTTGCTTTCTACCTCTCTTAAAGTGAAAGTATAATATACTCCAATAAACATTTTAAGTGGAAGGGCAAAATTGGGGAATCCTATCTTTTTGTACCATATACCGTAATGTAACATGCCATTTTTCCTGCTGTATTAAGTGTGTTTCCTTTAAAACTCAAAGCAGGATCATGCTGCAAACCAATGGTTTATTTTGCTGATTCTCATGAAGTTTGGAGAAATAGTACCATATTTCCCCATGTATAAGATGCTCCCCATGTATAAGACACACCTTAATTTTGGGGCCCGAAATTTGAAAAAAAATGTATTACATAAAGTTATTGAACTCAAGTTTTATTCATCATAAAATTCATACAACTCCTCATCACTGGCAAAACTCCCAACCATTAGCTTGTCCTCATCTGTGTCTGATGATGAATCACTGTCTTCATATATTGCCTCGTCTTCAGTTCCATCTATGGCATTTGAAATCTACAACCACAGTATAAGACGCACCCAGTTTTTAGACCCCAAATTTTTTGAAAAAGGGTGCGTCTTATACATGGGGAAATACGGTAGATTGTTTAAAATTAAGCAAAGTTGCATTTTGTTTCCAGAAGTTTCAATGGATGACAAATACTTAGGCAAACTCTGCAAATGCTTATTCTTACCTTTTACCCTACTGACATTTAGTGAATTTTACAAATAGATAAAGCTAATAAGACTGTAGTGGGCTGACTGTTGGCAGTAGAGCGTGATGAGGAATAGTCTCTTGGTTATACAACCAAATACTTGATTCAATAATTGAATGAGACTCACTGAGACCAAAACATCAGAAAACGATCCTTTTCCATAATTTTAACAGAATAGCTGCTTCTGCTGCTTTGTATAAAAACAAAATTTTATGGTACCTCAAAATTCTCCATTGTTTCTCCAGTTTGAAATAAGCTACTAATTTAGCTTATTTACCTGGTTGGCTCAATCCTGTTTCCAAAGATTAAAGCCTGAAGCACCACGCCTAAAGCATAAGACCTTACCTATGTGCAGCTCTATCCTAGTCGTAAATAAGTAAATCGTTTAGCCAGCCTGACAGCTGTGTGCTGACTGTTGTGTGAAGGTTATAGGATGTAACAAGCCTTGTCCTTGGATCCCTCATGAGCAGTTATCTTTTCAAGGCGCCAGACTGTCCTTGGGTGGTTCCTGGTGTCCAGAGCCATCCGTAGGAGACACAGGGTGGGAATGAAAGAGGCTTTGGGTGATCTTCTTTCCTCCCTTTTCTTTTCCTGACTTCCCCTGTGCCACTTGGGAAAATAAGAATGAAGGGCCACCTGGATCAGGCGGTGGGCGGTATTGGTGGAGAAAACTCGTGGTTATGGGGGGTTCTTCCAGGAAGAGACTATGTCTGTCTTACCCACCAGCTTCCCCGATGCTCAGCGCTGTGCCTGGCATGTAAATGCCAAATCACTCCTTGTTGTACATTGAGTGATTGGAGCCAGGGTTCACACAGTGCCATGCGGTGCTTCTCCCCTCCCCCTCTGAGTTACCGTCTTGAATTGCACATGGTCCAGCATCAACCCAAATCCCAAGACCCCACACCTGGGAAATCACTTGATTATTGTACAGAAAACCTTTCTTTGTCTAGGAAACCTTGACCCAGATAAGGCACCACTAGTGCGTGTGAAAAAAACACTAAAATTCTTTGGGACAAAGCAATAATAGCTTGCTAAGAAAAGCAGCTTCTTAAATCCGATCATGTCATCTTCCCATAGAATAAAATCCAAGCACATTACCTTGGCTAGCAGTGCTCTGCATGAACTGGCTCCTGATTTCTTTTTGTAGCCCACTCCAGTTCCTTGAGCACACCAGGCCCCTTCCTGTCTGCTCCACCCTCTGTCTGGAATGTTCTTCAACAGCTCTTCAGTCTTTTGATCCTTTAAAGATCCATTTAGCTGGTACTTCTCAGGGAGGTTGTCTGTGCCTTCTCTATCATCCTTCCTGTCCCATTATTTTATACCTAGGCATTTTGTATTTTCCTGTGTGTTTGCTTTCTTGCTTACTGGCTATCTGCCACACTTGACTGAATGCTGTATGTACATGGGCAGGACTGTTTTCTGATAAGGGCAGCATCTAGTCTAGTGCCTGGTTCAGGGTAAGCTCTCAATAAATAAATATTTATTCAAATGAGTGAATGACGCAAGTCAACCTACTTTTCATCAGAAAAAGTGTTTCAAGTAAAAAAACCCAAACAAAATAAATGCTTTTCTTTCGTCTCTCGGATTCTCAACATATAACGCATAATGTATGTGTGGTTCACGCTGTAACAGTTCTCTAGTCTTGGTAAAGAACCTGAAAGAATAGGGTGGATGATTTAGTGTCTGTGGTCTAACTACTAATAGTAGTGCTTTTTATTCCTAAACTTTTAATGTGTTTTCTCTGCCCTTTTTTTTCTTTTGTCTTTCTTTTTTAGCAAGGGAAGCCATATGTCTTCGACAGAGTGCTGCCTCCCAGCACGACCCAGGAGCAGGTTTACAATGCGTGTGCAAAGCAAATTGTCAAAGGTAAGTGCTATTTCTTTATTTCCTCCTGGGCCTTTCAAGGTAATTGAAAACATTAAGTGATATTTGCCGCTTAAGAATCAATGTGCTTTGACTGTAAGCAGAGGCCTGCTAATTGGAAACACTGAGTTATAGCTCAAGCTCTGGCCTTGATTTGCTAGGATGTCAGGCAAGTTATTTAACCTCTCTGTATCTCCTTTCCAAGGAGATTTCTTTATTACTTTTACCACCTTTTTGGCAGAGCTGTTCTATCACCTAGAAGCTTAAAAGCTAGGTAAGCTATCTGTGGCCACACTATTTCTGTAATGGTTTTAAAATACTGTTGCAGGTATGGGACCTCCTTTTTCTTTTGAAGAAGAAAAATATATATTCCAGATGCTCCAATTGTACGTTTTTGGTTGATTTATTTGGTGCATCTGTCTCTTCAGAAAGAAGCTTTAAATGTGGAACATTCTTGGGCATTCAGGAATGCTCTTCAGCCTCATAAAATCACATTACCTAGCTGATTATCAAGCTTCATTTGCTACTCAGCATTCCATAATTATACTTCCATTTAACCCACTTTCAACCATCCTACCCAGATCTCAACATTTGTTTCTCCAGATAGGTAGCCCGAAGCCTAAATTTGTGTCTTGGAGATCAGTCTTTTTCTCTGGGACTGGCCTTGGCCCTGAAGGATTTGTGTCATAGTAACAGCAGGGAGATGAAGCCTTGCCCTTTCAAACCAGGGGCAGGTTGGAGCTTGCCTTGCAGAGCACACCATCTGCACAGAGCTGAGGGGCATCTCCCGCTACTTTGCTTTTCATTATCAAATCCTTGCTTTCAAATTTGAGTGTTAATGGCAATCGTGCTTTCAAATGTCTTGATGCTGCCACCTTTATAGGTAGCCCTGGATTTAGAGAGCAAAAAATAAAAACAAAACCAAAAAAGACACTTCGTCATGTTAGATCTGCTTATTTTTAGAAGCTGAGCTGACTAACCTAATGCTTTGAAATGCATGAAAATCAGCCCTGGGTACATCTGTTAGATTAATTCTGACCCTGGACACCTGCGTGGGAGACTGTCAGTATGTAATGTTCTTTGCTGAGGTGTATGACTAGTCACATTCTTGTTGCAGACAGCAATTAGTTTTCAAGGTCTTCGCAGTAAGATAGTATATAAAACGGAAAGGAAAAAATATGCCTGGATTTGAGCTCTTGTTTTTTCTTAATATTTTATTGAGGAATTGGGGGAGGGGAACAGCATTCGGGAATCAAGAAAGGGGAACAGACAAGTTGCTGTCCTTTTGTTCTTCAGTCTAGTTGTGGAGGATGTTGCTTCACTGACCCATGTTGGTATCATCATTGCACTCTTCCCAGGTGAGGCAGTCGCTTGCTGGCCATTGGACGGCTGCTCATGGCGGCTCACAGCTGCTCACAAAAGCTCACGCCTGCTGCCGGCCAGCCCTGCTGCCGGCCAGCCCCGCTGCAGCCTATGCCGCTGCAGCCTATGCCGTTGCCGGCGACTCACAGCAGCCCAGCTCCAGGTCGAGCTGTTGTTCAGCATCTTAGCTGTAGAGGGCGCAGCGTCATTGGCCCTCATGTGGCATCCAAACTGGGGCCCTGCTGCTCAGCCAGAGCTGGTGCCCCAAGCCAACTCTTAACCAATGTGCCACTTGGTTAGCTCTTTTTGAGTTAATAGTATGGGCCTGTAACTGGTGATAATTTTCATCTCTTCTGCTCTTTTACTTTTCTTTCTTTCTAAACATGTTTTCTCTCTCTTTTTGGAGTAGATAGTTCTAGTTTGCTCCAAGTCAGCCCTCCTTCCCTTCTACTATAAGAGTCTTTCATATTTTTGTTAAAGTAAGATTAATCACATATGAGCCAGAATTTCTTTATTTTTTTCTCTTCCTCTTTATTTTCAGAACCAAATAGTCTTTACCACATGCTGTGCTAAACAGGAAGGCCATTTAAATACATTGCCACCCTTCCTTAGTTGACATTATAATTAGAGATGGACCAACTCCCTTTAAAAGAAATCCCATGGTTAACAAATAACAATAATAATTTTTGTGTCTTTATTTACTAGAGAAGTCTGTGTCCCTTTCAGTGTTTGGATTTTTCTACAGGATGAAATGTCAGAAACAGGCAGTTCCTGGGGAGTTGTCACGAAGACGTGACCTAACTATGGGTAACTTGAGACCCAAGATATGGTGAGCCACAAAGAAAACCATTTAGCGTTCAATTAGGCTCTGACATGATATAATAAGGACATTTTTCAGGCACCATAAATATTACATAAACATGCTCATTTTATGCCAATAAGAGTATGTACCTTAAAGGAAATTAAGAGGGGGATGATGAAGACCTGATTTAACTTTTTAGTATCCACTGAGGCTAGCATGAGGGGAACTGGCCATGTATTTCTGCATCAGCAGGGTCAGACACAGATATATAAAAAAGAACTCCTTGGAATAGATTATCAGGTGCAACTGAGGTGTCTCTTGCCATGACGAGCCCTATTTAAATCAAGAATAGGAGGCGGTGCTGTGGGGGCCTTTTTTCCGAGGCCAAGAATTGAATCATGGCTTCTGAAGGTCACCATCGCCCCAACAATTCACAGTAATGTGGTGAACTGGTGCGCTTTCCTTTCAGGTCTCTCTAAAACAATGTTTTTAAGATCAGAAAGACTCCTTTTAACTGGCTGCTTTTATCCTGTCTTGGTTTTTTCATTCCCTTCAACTTCACTGGGTTTTTAAAACAATACTTCAAACATTTGATTGTAGAGTCCTGGCATCTCCCACACTCTCATCGTTGTCTGCTTTGTGTTTTTCCAAATGTTGCCTGAAAGAATATGTAGAATTCTCCATTTCTTCTAGAAGAGGTTAGAGGCTACAGGGTTTGTGCCTCCCAACATGGTAAATTTGGAGGATTCCTATAGACACGTAGGAATGAAAAACAATGGTTCCTGGATGCTGTTGGCGAAGTATGAGTGACTGTGTCCCTGCCTACAGAAGTCAGTCTGGGCATTTGTCTTTCCAATGAACTAGATATAGCTTCCTCCAGTGCTAGAGAAGGTGGCTTCTTGGTTTCCAGATCTAATTTCTTTAAACTTCGTCCATTTGGTTCAATTGTTTCATTCATTCCTTATGCAAGTATATTAGGTATTTACCACGTGGTAAGCATTGCTAAGGACTGGAGCCACCAAGATATGTAAGACTAAAAGAATTTTTGAGTATAAGGAAAGAGACAGATGCATCCATAAATATCATACCCATGGATATTATGGGCCTTAATGTGGGTGTGTGCAAAATGCCATGGGAGCACAGAAGACAGTCCCTTGGTACTGATTTTGGTGGGTGTGGAAGGAAATTGGAGAATTAAGGAAGTCTTCTTAGAAAGGCTGGGGGCTGAGGACTGTAGGATATAGCAGGGCTGTGTAAGCAGAAGGAGTAGCAAAAGCATACTGATACATTGTACGGCAGCTTAGAGTGGTACCGGGTACATGGGGGATGAGACAGAATGTTAGGCTGGGTCAGAGTTTGGTTGAAATTGATGGGCTTTATCCTATAGGCAATGTAGACCCATGGAAGAGTTTTAAGCTTAAGATGTTATCAGATCTATTTTATTATTGTTACATATGACTCTTAAGAAGAACTAATGTTTACTTAGCTACTATTATCTATCAGACACCCTCTGTGCACTTGACGTAGGTTATTGCATTTACAATTTTAACAGCACTGTGAGGTGTGAGTGTTATTATTCCCATTGTACTAAAGAGGAATTTGAGGTGAAGCAAGCCGGCCAGATCAGTTTGGGGGGTTGCGAGGCTGACACTTGAGCCTGAGTTTGTCTGACTTAGTGGGATGTTTCTGCACTGTCCTCCTCCGACTTCTCTGGTGGGCCCATAATGAGGTTCAGTAACAATTGTTTTATGAATTGTTTCTTTTCTATCAGGCTATATGGACTGTTAACCAAGCATTGTAAAGGACTAGTATAGGAATGGAGGTGGGTGCAAGGCAGAAGAGAGAGAATAGAGATTGCAGTTCGAGAGCCTCGGATTAACCTTGGTTGTCTGCCAATCATGAGACGCATTTCAGTTCTGAAGATGCCACAGGCCCTCGCCTGGGCACAGTGGGGGCCCTTCAGACTGGCTGGTTGGCCCAGGGTTGTGGTTGGCCCTGGTGCTCAACAGGCCTGCCTCTCCTCCATTCTCTGCACATGGCTTGCTTGAGTCGTGCGGTTGCCTGGTGAGAGCCTTAGGATTCTAAACCGGGGATGACCTGTCAGCCACTATTGCCAGAGGCCCTGGTGCCATAGACAGGTCACCATTTCACCTGCAGAGCTGATGGAGGTCACACAGCTTCCTCAGGAACATGGATGCATAGGCATGATTGCGTCCTCCCCAAATTCTTACCTGATAATGGAACTAATTAACTCTTCTGCTCCAGCAAGACCTGGACTCTGGACTAGCAAAACCTGGGGCAGAGAACTTGGGCTTTGGAAGAGTGCAAGAGTGCATTTTCCAGCACCCCGCTCCCCTCCTCCTTCCTCCTGGGAGAGGAGAATCCTCTTCCCACCTGCAGTGGGGGGTCTCTAGGATTTGCTTGGCTGCCAGATGGACTTGTGCTGTGTTTGTGGGGTGCTTCTGGCTGTGTGGTGCGAGCTGAGGTCACATCACGCTAGACTCCATCACAAAGAAAGACTCTGTCTGACTGAGCTGGCTTCTGGCTCTGTGGCTGGCATATAGAAATTGTTTTGTTTCAGCAGAGCCTCTAAAACAAATGCTTTTCCTGGGCCCAGGAACTGTCATTCAGCGTGATGAAAGTGCCTTTTTGTGGGCTGTTTCTGTTAGAGTTGGGGCGCGCGGCTGTGTGACTTCGCGTGGTGCTGAGCACAGGCCCGCTCTCATCCTCCTCTCCTCGGCGGGCTCTCCGGCGTCCTCTCTTTTCTGTCGGCTCAGCGGTACAACCCCTGCAGCATTGTCTGTGCAGCACTTCTCCGCCTGCCTCTCCTTTCCACTAATAATCAAATGTAAACAGATAAAAACCCCCAAAATCTGGAGTTTGGGAGAAAATAGAGAACACTGGATTCAGAGAGCTTTTTCTTTTCTTTTTAAATTACCTTCTAATTTAGACTTGAGTTGATAGAAGGTGACATCAGCTCCGTTCAACCTTGAACACTAGAGATAGGTTCTTAAACAGTGAATTAATTGTAGCGTGATTGTAAAGCCATTGAAGACCACGCAGAGTTTGTTCTAATGGGGTTTTATGTGTTCTTTTTCACACACACACACACACACACACACACACACACACACACACACACACACACACACCCCAAGCTACTTGCACTTAGTGTTGAAATAGCAGCACCAAGCAATCAGGGATTCTGCAAATATATAGTCCCATGTGCTCCTCAGCTTCTTATTCCAAAACAAATTCATGTGCATGTCCTTAACCCGCAGGAGTTCATTGAGCAATGCCTAACTAAGAGTTGTAGAATCATGCATTCTGCTTAGGGTAAGGGTGGATTCAGGGTGGTGGGCTGCTGGGCTGGGGGCCACCAGGGAGGCCTAAGTCAGATGCGCTGGCCCCACTGCTTCCTGGCAGAGGAAGAAGCACGCGTGCTGGGTTTTCTCCTCAGGCTTGGGCTCTGAGCTGAGTTTTCTTTAGGATATGGCAGGTTGCTCAGAGCTACCTCCTGTGTGCATGTGCACGTGCAGAGTGGCCGGTGGCCCATTACATGGAGCAGAAGGAGCTGGGCCCTTGGCCTTGGCCTCCTTACCCCTGTTCCAACGCCAGGACTAATGGGCCCCAGAGTGCTTCCTACACAGGGACTTAAGGTAAGGAAGCCCTTTCAGTTTGCGTGGAGATGTTAATTTCTAATACATAGAAGCTTTAGTGCTGTGATTGTGGCCAGAATTCCAATTGTCTGGAGCTGTTTGTGCCATGAATATAGAATTTTTAGAGTACAACTAAAGGGTGGAAAAGCTCTTTCCTTGGGCCCCTCAAAGCACCTAACATTTCCTGGGTGTGAGGAGAGATTCTCTGCTCTGGCCCCTGTTTCCAGGCCTGAGGAATCTTTTCTCCAAGAAAGCTGGCATTTTCGTGAAAACTGAAGCTTGAACCTCCAACCCTTTCTCTTCTTCAAGTTTCTGCTTCCCCTGTTACCAGGGAAACCATTACCAGAAGTCGGATACGTGTGAACATTCTCTCTCTCTCAATATAGCTTGACACAAACTCTTGAGGGCTGCAAGGATTTTTTTTTTTTAAATCCTACCTCTTAATTTTCCTTTCTTTAGCTTCCTAAAGGAAAATCCCACTTTCTTTTCTGATCCCAGTTCAGACTTCAGTAATCTCAGATCAGTAAAATGTATATTAGAAATGTTTTTAGAAAACCCAACAAAACAATAAAAACTAGCCAGCATCATAAAATTCAGAGAGACCAAATCAAACAAACAGACCTAATTAGGGCCTGAAACTCGATGGAGCCGACTGCCTGGCTTGATTTTTTTGTGCATGGCCCTGAAGAAGACAGCTTAGTGTGGGGCTCCTCTCCCTGTCCCCACGGTCCCTTCAGAATGGAGACCTTCCTCCCCTTATATATAGATGGTGGGTCAAGGATATTAATTATGCATCATTCCCCTTTCGGTGAGCTTTTTGTAGATGGACGATTGAGAGAAACGAGCACATAATATATTTTCATCACCTCTGCTGTTTTGAAAGGGTTCCCTCAGATAATCTTCAGTGCAAAGCAACCTCCATCACATTTCTCCCCTGTCCCTTTGTGAAGTGGAATCCAGCCTGCCTTGTGGGGGTGTGCACAGTGTGCTCACTGTGGATTGAAAGAAATTCCCGATGCTGCTGGGCTTGGGCCGTCTTGCTAGCAGAGTCATTGAAAAAATGAGCTTTGAGTCAGGGCCCTGGTGGTTTCTGGGCTGGTTGGATTGTCGCCGTGTGGCTCAGTTTACAGAGTGGGGTCCTGTCCCCTTCCCCCTCCCCAGATCTGGGCTAGCTGTCTCTGAAGGGGCTTTGGTGTGGCCTTCACAAGAAACATCCCCAACGAGCTTACTTGGGCCAGGGTTTAAAGCAACCCAAATCAGATCTTCGGGAAAGAAATTATATTCTGTCTCTCTCCAAAGACACAGGGCACGGAAAATGTTTTCTTCCTCTGACTAATATCAAGAGACCAACTTTGAGAAGAAAACTCTAATATCTTTCTACTAAAAAGAAAGTGTACTGCTCAATATCTGTCTTAATTGTGACGTTACTGGCAGAAAGCGTGTCTGCCTCCTTTATTAATATATTCTGTAGGAATGTAAGTCCATTTCTCTTTGTTTGTGGAGCAGTGGAGGCCCTCATTCCTGCCTTTATTTCACAATTCTGCTTAAAATGCAAATGGAGTTGAAATATATCACTTGTATGAAAAATGATGGACCATTTAGAAAATATAATTTTAAAATATTCATACGATCAAAGTAATGAGTTAATTTTAATGTTTTTTTCTTGCATGCAGATGTCCTTGAAGGTTACAATGGGACGATTTTTGCATATGGACAGACTTCATCAGGAAAAACACACACCATGGAGGTAAGATTGCAGCATGCTGTAATGTCAGGCTCTGAGACAACCCAACAGAACCTGTACTTCCAGCAAAATTTGAGGTGCATGTGGCTTTTTTACTGGGCAGTAGAGTTGGAGAGGGTTATCTTTGGCCAATTTATTGTACCTTTGAAGAGTTTTAAAATAATGTAAGAAAATCTAAGGAGTTCAATATTTTAAAAATCCTTTATTGATAGAGTTGTCAAAATAATAATAAACTCTATTAAAAAATAATAATCAACAAGCTAAACAATGATTGATATGAGTATCCTTGTGGACAGGAGCCTAATCTAACTGAGAAAGTCTGTTGTGAAAATTATTTACCCAAAGGAGGGCCTCTGGGGAGGTGACTCTCCTGAGAAAAAAATTTAAAAAACTGTAGGTCAGAGAATAAAGAAGTTGCCTTAAGGACCAGATCCAGCCGCAGACATATTTTTGTTTGTCCTGCACAGTGGTGGGTGTTTTTTTTTGTTGTTGTTGTTGTTTTAAATTTCAGTCAGTGTTTAAAATAGGGTGATTTCACGCAATTCTAAGTTGCCAAATTTGGTTGAAAATTCTGAAGATGTAGCAACACTGGGTAAAATTTTACCATAATGTAAAGTGTAAGCTTCACCCTCACAGGGATCTTCATTGTCTCATTCACCTTTTTATTCACATTTCTTGTGCATGGAACAGCTGCATGGAACACCTAGGAGGGGTTCGATAAAATATTTGTTAAAATGATACCCCTGTGGTGGCTCTGGCCTACCCATGTGTTTGGGGCTTCATGCACAGCATGTGTAAATATGAACTTGTTTTTAGCATCATTCCTCATTAACTCACACACCTGGCCTTGTGTGCACTTGAGGGTGTGACCCCAGCTCAAATTGTTGGCTGTGGAGCTGTGTGGCTCCAGGCTGTCTTCCAGACAAGATATCTGCAGACAGAATTGCCCCCCTTTACTTCTTCTTTCCCTGCTTTTTATTTACCATGGGCTCCTAGGAGGCCTTCCGGGCTAGATCATTCTTCAAAAGGCTGGGCCCTGCTGACAGGTGAGGAAAGGTGGCAGAGTGGTTATTATAAGAAACTGTATAGGGGAAGTTTGGGGGGAATTCAGTTTCCAAGCAGCAGGGTAAGATGAATCCTTAATTCTTCAAGCTTAGGTTTTTTTCATTTACACTGCCCTCCTGGGAATATCACTGAGACGGCGGCTGCAGAATCAGTTTAGCTTATGAATCATTCCTATTGAAGAGTAGATTTCAAAGACATGAGGCCCAAATCCTCAGGGTTCTGATGCTCAGCACACACCGATTTCAAGTGTGGGCTATGACTCTGGAGGATCTCATTTTGGTTGTGTTGACTCACTCTCACCATTTTGCTGGAGACAAAGTGGTTCAAAGACTGCACAGATTAAAGGAAGCATAAGGTTTGTTTGCCACCTCTTCCAGACAGAGCAGGGCTGCTCCCTGACACCTGGGGCTTGTTGGCCCCTCTTTTCTTTCTTTCTCTTTCCTTCCTTCCTTCTTTCTTTCTCTCTCTTCCTTTTCTTTCTTCCTTCCTTCCTTCCTTCCTTCCTTCCTTTCTTTCTTTCTTAAGATTTTATTGGGGAATTAGGGGAGGGGAACAGCGTTGGGAAATGGGGAAAGGGGAACAGACAAGTTGCTGTCCTTTTGTTCTTCAGTCTAGTTGTGGAGGACATTGCTTCACTGGCCCATGTTGGTATTATCATTGCGCTCTTACTGAGTGAGGCAGATTGGTTGCCGGCCATTGGATGGTGGCTCACGGCAGCTCATGAAAGCTCACACCCGCTGCTGGCCAACCCCACTGCAGCCTATGCCATCGCTGGCAACTCACGGCAGCCCAGCTCCAGGTTGAGCTGCTGTTCACCATCTTAGCTGTAGAGGGCAGTGTCACTGGCCCTCATGTGGGACCCGAACCGGGGTCCTGCTTCTAAGAGCTGGTGTCCCAAGCCAACTCCTAACCAACGTGCCACTTGGCCGACCCTGCCCCTCTTTTCTGCATCTCATATCTTTCATCAGAACACCTTGGCACACAGGCATGGTTGTCCCCACCTTCCTACTCCAGCCCCTCGCCTGCCTCTCTTACTGGGCGCCAGACCCTTAACATTCTAGGTACTGGAAAAGTTGCAGTTATACATGTACTAAGTAAGGCCCACCCACTCCAGTAGCTGTGGACAAAAACTCCTTCATAGGTTATAAGGCTTAGAAAAGAGAGAGGGCATCTCATGAGGATATCAATCAGTCTCTAGGTTTTTGGAAAATTACCAAATAATATACAAAACAACAATAGCCCCCCCCAAAATGCATTATTTAAAATCCTTCAAAAATCTTAGGGAACGGTTACAAGAATGACCTTTTTATCTTTGGGATTAATTCATCTTTGGAAAATGTAAGGTAGTTGCCAAATGTCAGATATTTAAATTATAAACCATCAAAGGAGAGACCCGTCCTCAGAGTAAAATCTTAGTTTGTATTTGTGTGTGGGGAGAATATGTGGGTGTGAAAGAGTGGCAACAAGGTATGCTAGCAATTTAAGATGAAAATTGGAGGCATTTTGTTAAATCAGAGCATCTCTAACCCTCTGTGTCTCGAGGTGTAGACCCCATAATGCCTGTAGCAGTGCTGACGGCTCAGAGAGACTCATGGGGACCTAAAGCGAGCTGGGCTCCATGCAGACCTCTCTCATAGTTGCCTAAATTCTGTCACCTCTTCGTCATCAGTTTTACTAGTTTGATTGCAATGAGTTGCTATATTTTTTGTTGTGGCTCTTGAAGATCACGCACTTATGCCTAGAGAAGGAAGGAAGGAGTGGGTAGATGGAGGCCTTTCCTAGTGCCACGCCTACCCCACCCCCCACATTTAATCTGGTCTTTTGTAGGGTGATTATCGATTGGAGAAAAGGTAGGGGATGTTTTAGAGAACAGAAAAGGAGGAGCCCCAAGCTAGACACTGCAGGAGACCAAGAAACCCAGGACCCTGGAATGCAATTAAATTAAAAAAAAACAAAACCCTGCAGGGTTTGCACCACCTGAAAGGCGGATGTTACATATTCGGAAGTACACATTGTGATCTTTTCAGAGGCTTTTAGAAGGGGATGGTAACTCCCTGACTGGACAGAGCTGTCACATTTGAAAGCTGTTTTTCATTCTAATCCCTCCATTTTTGGTTTGACATCCAGTGGTGATTCCATTACCTTCTATTGAGGGGAACAAACAGATAAGCCTACATAAAATTGGAAAGATTAGCTTCTGAAAGTGGAGTATTTAAGGCGGATTTTCAGTGAAAATGTGAAGCACTTGACAGTGCTGGTGCTAAGCTTGTGGTGTGCTGGGCCCCGGCTTATGCCTCCAGGGCTCACAGGGCCATCGTTGGAGAGAGTTCTGGGGCTGCTGACTGAATGGGGACGAAAGGGCTGGCCTTCTGTTCAGCGTGTGATGCGGGAAGGGCTTCTCTGGGCCCCACACCGTACTTCGTGGCCCCCGTCAGCATACTGATAGAGATGGATGGAGACGTCCTGTTTTTCCTTCTGCCCAAAGGCAGACCTGCAGGCCATCGAGTGGGGCCGGCTGCCCCGCTGCCGAGCAGAGCCTGCCAAGTGATTTTTAATGAGACTGTCTGAGTACATTGGTGCTGCCTGCTTTCCCATCTTAAGTGTTTCAGGAAACCCTGTCCTCCTTGGGAGGTTGAGGAGGCATCTGGGGCTGGAACAAAGGGAGTCTTGTTCTGTGGCCGATGGCCTGGGTCTGGTTTCATCTTTCGTACTTACTCTGAGAAGGCCATGGTCAAAAGTGAGGAAAGCTTTTGAAGAGGATTATCCAGGATGCAAGTATAAAACTTTTCTTTTTTTGCTTTCTGGGAGAGACAAGATAATGAAGCGGTACATTCCTTTGTCACTCAAGTCCATCCCTGATCCTCCAGCCAACTGAACCTGCCGCTGTTCTCTAAATGGCCATTGTTCCTTCTCAGTCCCTGTACCTTAGTTCTGTTAACCCCCATCAGCTTGACTGCGTACATCCCATCCTTAATCTTACTCGTCCCTCAGGACCTGGTGTCCCTCAAGGAAGCCATCCACATCGCCCCACCTGGAAGGAACTTTCCTATTCTCTGAAGAGCTCTCTGCTCCTTTCTCACCTTTTATTGCCTGAGGTGTATACTTGTGTGTGTGTACATGTGTATTTCACTTGCAAGGCAATCAACATAGAAACAGTGTAGATCTTTATGGAACACCTCTGTCTCATATAGCGAACACCACACACACATGCACACCATAACCCCACACACACATCAACACATCTACACACCAGTCACATCCACACACACCACATATACCATACATACACACTATATACACACACACTACACATCCACACAAACCACATATCCACACCACACACACACCATGTACATCAACACTTCACAAATCAACACCACACATGCCCACACCACACACGTCCGCACACCATTCTCTCTCTCTCCCTCTCTCCCTCTCTCCTTCTCTCCCTCTCTCCCTCTCTCTCTCTTTTCATCACACACACACACAGTGCACAGGTTGTTCGGGCAGGGTCAGTTTACTGAGCATAAAGGCCCTTACCACCCTTGGGCTTATGAGCTAGATCAAGCATCCCAGCCCCTAAACCTGTGGTCGATTAGGGATCACTCCTGTCACTCTGGGAATGGGGGTATTACGCCTTCTCCAAATGTGATGTTGGGGTGCAGACTCTGGGGAAACAAGAGTGGGGAGTGTCCTGGACTCATCCCTGGTTCTGCCTTGGTTCTCACCCTAACAAAGGCAAACAAAAGGATGTCAGTACTTACATCAGCCAGGAATCAATTGGAAGATAAATCTGTTGAAAGGGGAAGCACCCAGGGAAACAGATTTGAATCAATTATAAATGAATTTGGATTATCAATCATTCTTCTTTGACTATGGACTACTGAGGAGATGCTAAAGGCTTATGATAAATTATTAAAGAGCCCCGGAGGGAGTGGATGGGGGACACTTTTCAGCTTCTCTGAGTCAGATTGGCCCAGTGGTGTCATGGCATTTGACGGGACAGAGATCTTTGTTTTCACTGCAAGTATCATTTCCACCGTCCAGAGCATGTGAGATCCAATATTTAGTTTGTTACATGTTTATGATGGCCTGTTGGAAGTAAAGTTACCAACATTTGAATGTCTCAGTCACAGTCATTTGGTGCTGTTTCATAAGAGACACACTAATGGCCTATGATATAAATATGCTTTCATACTCTTCAGGCCAAATAAACCCCAGTAATTGCTTAATGAGAACCTGCTACCTGCTGAATAATATAGTGCTAACATTTATTGTCATGCAACACATTATATATATTGTTTGATTTAAATTCCACAATAATTCTATAGAGTAGATACTATACTAAGTAGCATACGCAGGGAGGGAAATGCATATGCACTGGTCATCCCTGCCTTTAGGGAGTGTGCAGTCAAACTGAAAAACAATATAAACACATCAAATATTGCAGGATTCTTAGCCGACGAAGGCATTCCAGGGAATACCCAGTTTCCTAGGAAAGAGAGCTTTGCCAGAGGCCAGACGCATCTGAATTCAGCCTTTCTCTAGCTTTTCACAGGGCAGAAGGTCAGGAATCAGGTGCGTGAAGGAAGATTAGTAATGCGCTTTGTGGCCTGTAGTCAGGGCCGGGTTCGTGTGACTTCTTGCTTTTGGTAAATCACGTGTTGGCTTGAAATCAGCCCGTCAGAGAGGTACTATGTGTCAAATCCCTGAAGGAAAAAGATGATTTAATTGAGAAAAACAGAAGATATCCCAGGTTTGGGCAGGTTTGGAACAGGGCTATGAGTCAAAATTGTAAAGGTTGTTAGGCATCCCCGAAAAACTAAAGGCAAAGTAAGTTTTGTGCTTTTCTTCCAGTTCCATTTGTTCCTAGCGTTTTATAACTTCCCAAAGGTCTGAAAAATTCTCCAGGAATAGAGTCGCCAATGATCACTTTAGATCTGCGGCTGTTCGTTTGTGCACTGATCGCTTGTTTAACATGTAACAGAGCTTAAGTGTTCATTTGAGTGTTGGCATCAATAAAGCTCTCAGGGAGTTGTCCACCCAGGTCCACACAAGGCCGTTGCTTTAAATACTTACAGACCTCTTCTTTAGGAATTGCTTTAAGATCCTATGGCATATATATATATATATATATATAT